GGGGGTTGTTGACAGTCGGAGCAAATATTTTCTGAAAGATTCAGATTCAATTTAATATCGAGTCCGCAGCTTATGAGAGCAACGCAAGAAAAATGTTTTTCCTCCACAGAAATAACCCTCCAGTAACTGTCATTGCGAAGAATAAAAATTCACGAAACATTTGTCTCAATTTTATTTTATATTACGAATTGCTAACATGCTCTGCTACTAATTATCCTAGTCAGGTTAGAACTGCGTTTGAAATTTACGAAGTCTACATAAATAAATAGTCATTGATATAATTTTATCCTTAACTTCAGCCTTTAATTTTACACCATAATTAAAAAAAATACCCAACACAGAACGTCGCTTTAGAGTGGTTAGGACTTATACTTCGTATTTGGGATATCCTGGGTTCAATACTCAATTGTACCTCAAATTATTATGCCATGACTGCTTCCTTACAAATCCTTTATTATTCATTATTCATTAGTCTTCCTATCATTCGATGCTAGATACTGTGAGCTACTGTCAGTGTTGTTAAATAAACCACAAATAGAACCCACTAATGTGATTTTCCCAGAAACGTATAAAAAGAGCTCTAGGGCCATGTTTTTCTTCAAAGAGGTGAAATACAAATTTGTCCCTGAGGTTTAACTACGCAACACACAAAGGCATGTGGGGTGTGGAGGTACTCGAAGTGATTGGTAACTTATGCCCCCAACGGTTTACCCCCGGAGAAAATGTTTCCGTTGTACACTGGATTAAAGGCTGGGTGGGCCCCAGAACAGATATGGACGAGGCAGATGAAAAATCTCTTGCCCTGCCAGGAAATGAACCCTGGTTCTCCAACCCACAGCCTCATCACCAACTGAGTGAGGGATTCCTGTCGTCTTTAAATAACTGAAATACGAAAATATGCGTAGTAATTCTTCTGTAATAAAGACTCGTGAGTTTTGTATGCACGTTTTTCAGACCACCCTTTCAACAGCAAAGCTTAAATAGCGAATGGGATGATCGTTTTTTATTTGTTTATGTAAAGGCATTTCAATTGCTCTGATTAAATAGCGCCGAATAACATATGATAACAAGTGATGAATTTAGAAGGATGTTGACACAAGCGGTTGTGCTCACTTTTATAGTATGAAGATTTCTGTCTTCTGGGTTGTTGCGCGGTGTAGTCTGGTCGATGTTAACCAACGTTTCAGAGGTCATACTGCCTCCGTCATCAGAGTATGAAGATTTCTGTCTTCTGGGTTGTTGCGCTGTGTAGTCTGGTCGATGTT